GACACCCGCATGTCGATTTCGCATGCAGGTCATCACTAGCTCTCACAGTTTAGGACAGACAAACTGCCATCGGTAGAGGCGATCGACGTGCGCGAATTCAAATTTCCCCACCACTACCTCAAACACTCTGCCCACTGTAGCCCACTTTGGAGCTACGGCCAACTTTTAGCTCTCATTTTGCGCGACCAATGGGCGTTATAAAAGCTGGCGTACGTTATAGTTAATCCAGAAAGGTCAGGTCAGGTTTATAGTTTTATACTGAGTTATACCTAGGTGCTTTTTTGCTCATATTTGTCATCTCGCGATTATAGCAATACGGCGGCGCGTTGTAAGCACAGCCACTGTAGAACTGTCGACCGCCTGCCGTGTAGTTATGCCACCCCGTCAACATCCTCCAAATCAGATCCTGTAGCGGGCCCCGGATTAGAAATTTAGGGGGATAGGCTGTGATTAGCATGCATTACTGAGACAGTGTAGAACTGGATAAGAAATTGGGTGCTTCCTACTGCTGGCCCTTTCATTTGGCAGATAAACCAATGAACCAAACCATGGATTGGATTCCCGGTTACATTTAAGGCTGTCCATGGAATATCACAGTCGCTGAGTTCATGAGTCCTCAAATGAAATTACTATTGCATCGTATGTCGGTGTTACAAATTCTCCTGGCTTTAGGAAGGTTTTGCGATACCTCACGAATATGTATTCGGTGTGTTTCGCCGCGCCGCGCCACTGTTGCTTATTCCTTCTCAACCGTGTCTGCACCCATGAGCGCTTAATTGGTTACCTTCCGTCGCACCAGCTCAACTCGCAAACTATGCGTTTGCACACTCTGCCGCTAAGTAATTTGCGTCCGCTCTTGTAGGCGTGTATTAACTTGGCATAATCTCAGCTTGAGTAGTAGGGGTTTTGCAACTGGCGGCAGCATTAGCCTGTGATGACCTTAACCTGACCTACGTTGGCAAGGCCGCCCGTGTACGCGCGCGCGCATGTTTGAGTGCCTTGGTGCAACGTTATCATCAGCAAGTGTGATATCAACTTATGCTCATACGGCTGAGCGTAGAAGTGTACTTAATCTGGAAGTTAAAGGTTGTGCATTTGGTGCTGCTTGAGTTCTGTCTGTTCTTTCCTTCCATAGGGTTTTTTGGTCTATTCTCTCAGAATTTTTATTGAGTCTAAATGTGCATCCAGTGCGCATTAAACATCAGCTTGCGTCGTCAATCCCACGAGGCCGGCGCCTCTACGTTTCCCGTTCGTTTTGAACTCGTTCTGTTGATGCTTCCGTTATCCTGGTGAGTTTCTTGAGACGCATCCGTACGACTGCCCTAGCTTCGATTACCAGTAGCTGAGAAGAGCCAGTATGTTGTTGCTGACTGTCAATACGCTCTGGGTTTTCTTCGGCGAGCAATATATTGTTCTGGGTCCTTTTTATCCCAATTTACAACATTTTATCTTGTTCCTGCTTGAGGAGCCATTTTTTGAGAGAAGGCTGACCGAATGTCTCCGAATTTCCTTGCAACTGTGCGCTTTTTTGTTAATTGTCCCCGCCCCCACGTCAGTCTACTGCTGCAGCTGCTGCTGCCGCTTTGCTAGGTTCTACGTCATTCTAACTTTGTTTACCGCTCGTCTTTATGCTTTTTTTCGTTGATTAGGCCGGTCTCACACCCCTGCATGTGGCCGCCTTCGTTGGGAGCTCGGATATTGTTCGCATGCTGCTGGAGAGGGGCGCCTCGGTGGACCAGACGACAATGCGTTGCGAGACGGCTCTCCATCTGGCCGCTCGAAACTGCCAACTCAACGTTGCTGGTGTTCTTCTGAGCGCTCATGCCACCGTCGATGCGAAGGCTAAGGTAAGCTCATACCGCTCCCCCCTCCCGCTTTTTATCTTTCCTATCGTTTTCCCCTTGTTTATTTATCCTACTCCCTGAGCTGTCACGTTTTTTCGTCTCCCACCCCCTTTTCCTCGACTTTTTCTCTCGTCGCTGTCTATGC